AAACTATCCCTCTGAAGCCTTGCAATGGACAAATAAGGAGTCGAGGGGAATTCCATATTCCTTTCTACCCTGATATTGTCCACCCTTTTGGGCTTTAATTGCAATTACCAGCTGACATAAATCAGAAGCTTTTTCAAGATTGCACTCTAGCAGTGGGTGGCCTAATGGGCAAACAGGACTCAAGAATGTGTAAAGCATCTATGTGTGCACTTTAATGTGCTTTAGCCTAATGTAATGTGCATTAAAATATCAAAAAAAATTCTCTTTAGCTAATGCTTATTAAAAATAAGGTAATGTACATTTTTCTAGTGTCTCACAATGGGGGTACTAGATTTAATGCACATTACCTAAAGCACATTAATTAACTTGTAGATATGCCCACTGATAAACCTTGAGATTTCAAATAGGAATCCCTGCTTCCTTCTCGTAAGAACTTGGGCCAGTCACCTTCCCACCCCACTTTCCCTATCTCTAATATTGGGAAGCTGGTACTGACCTCCTGTAGGATGTGTTTTGAGATCTGCTGATGGAAAGCTCTGCAGGTTATTGTTGATGTGTAACCTTAGCAGCGATTTTGAATTTGTTTGTGTAAATGGCTCAGCATATTTGACTATCCCAAGTTTCCTGCATCTAGGATGTTAGTTTTCTTTTACACGGCTGAATCACTGCTCAGGTTTCATGTTAGAATGAGAGTTATGGCTCTCCCAAATGTGCTGCAACTGGGAGGTTGGGAAAGAGGAATAGGAAGTTTCCCACTCCCATGCAAAGTGAGGCAGATAGGTTGTTCAGCATTTTTTCATGGTGTGTGTTAAGGGGAGGAGGTGTCTGAAACAGAATCATTGTTTTCTAATGGGACAAATTTTTGCTACCAAAAAGGTCAGCTTAGAGCTGCTGTTAAAGTGTTGGCACCCTGCCATTGTGAGCACTGGTAGTGTCTCACTGCTGACAGCCTTGCTTTCAAGCCCCGGGATCATGAGATGGACTAAAACCATGACTTTTTTTAAGACAAAGTTTCTAGTCCCTTTTTTCTCCCTTCTAGTGTTTGAGTCTTTAATGGGGCATTTTTCCATCTTTTCTCCATATCTATAACCGCTAAAAACTTACCCTTTTCAAAAATGAAAGCTGAAGTTCGGTCATCATCACTAATTCCAGGAACCTGGGAGTTTAAAAAACACCTAATATCGAGCAAGCCACGATAAAACGTCAACAGCTGGCAGTGCTGCCAGGAGTTGAGGGGCAGGGAGAGCTCATAAGACTAGGCCACTTGAACTGGGGGAATACTTTTCCCCCAGTGCCAGTGACTTAGGGTCCTCTGTGTCTTTGAGAGCCCCTGAGACTTGGGTTCCTATGGGACTAAGTCATTTTTAAAAATGGGGCACAAACTCCTTGGAAATCTCACTGTAGAACTGACCTGCTGGTATGCTGACCTGTGGGTCTGTAATCCCTGAAGGTGCCACATCTGTATTGTAATTGGATCCTTTGTTTGCTCTGCAGTGTCTTATCCCAGTGCATCCATGCCGTGGCGGCCCTGCTCTACCCCTTCACCTGGGCGCACACCTACATCCCTGTGGTTCCTGAATGCTTGATCGACACTGTGTGTTGCCCCACTCCCTTCATGGTCGGAGTCCAGATACACCACCTGCAGCAGGTTCAGGATCAGCCTATGGAGGAGGTACCGCTTTGTGCAGCATCGAGTGTTGGCTGTGCTGGCAACTGGCTGTGAAGATAACTGTTTCCCCATTCATGCCCCATAACTGTTCCAGGCCTCTGAGTGAAAGACGGAGATTGTACCAGCTTTCTGGTGTCAGGGGAGAAAGAACTTATTTCTACTTATTCGTTGCAGAAAGGAACAGCAATGGGCCAAGCTGTTTCCTAGGGCACGGGTTGGCAATCTTATAGATTCATAGATGTTTGGGTCAGAAGGGACCTTAGCAGATCATCGAGTTCGACTCCCTGCCCTGGGCAGGAAAAAGCCAGGTGCATGTCCAGCCTCCTCTTAAAGACCCCCAAGGTAGGGGAGAGCACCACCTCCCTTGGAAACCCGTTCCAGATTCTGGCCACCCTTCCCGTAAAGAAGTTCTTCCTGATGTCTAACCTAAATCTTCTCACCATCAATCTTTTAGAGCTGCAGGTCACTGCTTCTGACCCAGGCAGTACTGCGAGCTGCTGATTTCCCTCTCACCCCACCATTTCCTCCCCTGTCACCTGGGCCCCCACTCCACTGTGTAGTGACTTCCTCTGCAGTGCCCAAGTGCCCTTGCTGTCACCTTACCATGTATTACTGACCCCTGACCCCAGGGAGGGGCAAAATCAGTATTCATGGTAAACAGCGCCTGCCATGTGGGGCAAGAGAGGGCATGGAGGGGGCTGCAGAGGGAGAGGGGGATCAGTAGCAGGGCCACTGATTCCTCATGGCACCACGGGCTGGATCCAGCTAGCAGGCTGTAGGTTGCCAACCCCTGTCCTAAGGTGACCCCCAACCTGCTATGTAAGGCTAATGGGGTGCTGATATCACTCCTTGTAGATGGGCAGGGACCCTATCCTCTTCTGTGGAGCAAAGGGGCATCCCTTCCCCTTCGCCCTGTATTCTGAATCAGCCTGAATCTCCCTCCTCTCGCAGCCTGTGGGGCTTGGTAGCTGTGGTGGGAGCACTTTTGAAAAGCTATCATACATGACATCAGGATCCCAAGCCCTAACAGTCTCTTCTCCCCTCTGTGGGGATGGGGGTGGGGTGGTTTCTGGGGCAGTCAGTGGGATTGGGGTGGAAACTCCTGAACTCCTGTCACACAGGCCTCCCAAGAGACATCAGATGGGGGCATCTTCCCTCTGGGCTGGATGTGCTCCTGTAGTGCGGGCTGTTCTGCCTTTCTTCAGCAGGCAGGTAGTTTGGAAGGGCGGGGAAGGTAATGGTGGCCAGATCCCTAGAAAACCTCCATCTTTGGCCTCAGTGCCTAAGAATTAGGTATCTTGCTCTAGCAAGGTGATTCAAGGAAGTAGGTCTAGGAAGGGTCATCTGAAGAACAATTCACAAGTATCTGCATAGTGAGTGGGGAACCAGTAGAAACACTGAGCTTCAGGGCATGTCTGGACCCCTGTTCCTCTCTGGTGTGATTTAGATATGTTAGATGCCTTCAAAAGTACTTGAGCCAAAGACCAGCATCTTCTTGTGAGGGTCAAGTGTAACAGGGCAGTGGCAGTGGCTATGGTGCCCTCCTGTATATAGCTTTGGTTAGACCACTCACCCTGGAAGACCTGTGACTGGTTCTGGTTTCTGCTCCCAGGACTACTCATACACTTTGCAGTAGACGGTTGTTGAACAAAAAGCAAGATCTGTCTCGACCAGGGACTGGAACCTTGTTGCATGGGGGTGGGATGGAGAGTGCCCTCTTTACCCGGTGGCTGCTCTGCTGGTTAGGGCACTGTCTTGGGAGGTGGGAGTTTGAAGCCCCACAGGTAAAGGGAAGCCTAGAATGCAGCTCAGCCACTTCTCAGGGGAGCATCCTAGCTTCTAGTCTGTTATACAGAAGTGGGGAGGTACCATCACCACATTTTGCTGCTTTTTGCTGTGTTTTTGAATAACTGTGACCATGGAGACTGCTCTTTGTGTTGGACTCAGTGCTGGTGGTATGTACTAGGCCTGTTCTCTGCTGGATTGGATCCCCTGGGGAGTTAGATGCCTGGCTGCTATCCTGGCATGCACAAAATCCTGCATTTAGGCAGCTTGGGATTCTTGCAGTCAAATACACAGCTGCCAAATGAACGTATGTGCCCAAGGGGTTTGAGGCTGCTGGAATGGGAGTTTCTGATTCTTTGTTAGGGGCTTTCATTCTGTGCAAGTCCCTTGTTAGGCACTTGGGCTGCCTTTCCAGATCTGCCTCTGCTGTTTATCAAGCACTTCCCCTTTGCCTTGATCTTACTCAGCAGTCCCAGCTTGGAGGTGGGCCAAGCAACTTGGGGCACATAGGATTGATTTTTGAACAATGTCTGCTTCCAAGTGGCTTTGCTGCACTAACCCTGGATGCTCTCTGTCACTTTTAGGTTCTGCTGGTCAACTTGGTTGAAGGAAAGATCTTGAACTCGGTAGGTGTTCCTCATGTCAGAAGCACTGCCCCTGCTGCCCAGCCCCGGGTGCCTGCAGCGTACTTGTTTTCCTCTCAGGCTGTTACATGGCTTTTAAAAAAGATGTTCTTAAGGCCCTGCAGACGCCCTATTACTGGCTGGTCAGGGTATAACATACAGCTCTGCCCCCACCTGACAGTGATTATTTGCATTTTGCAGGCTTAAGGGAGAGGCCTCTTCCCTGAATTTTTACTAATCAACTGCCCAGGCTCGGGGGGGGGCTGGACCTGACGATCTGTAAGGTCCCTTCCAGCCTCTACCGACTATGAAACGATGACATGTAATGATAGTTTTCTGTGTTAAAGACACACAGGGCACTGCCCTCCAGGGAGAGAACAGTGGGTGTGTATTGCAGATTGATTTCTCAGGTGTTGTTGCATTGGTAGGAATAGCAAAGGGGAGGTGGTATCAGAAAGAGAGGTACCAAATTCTCTGGGGAAGGTCTCTCTCCATAACCTTTTGGAATGAAAATGAATAGGTGATGGCATCTAATGATGATTAATAAACACCACAGAGACGGTAGTGATCCTGGCCCTGGATCTGTGGTAGAGTGTGTTTCAGAGGATTTGGCAAGGAGATGGTTTTAATTCCCAGGATGGTTTAGTCTTGAAGACAAACTCAGCAAGTAAGACTCCTATCTCTGTGGTGCTTATGTTCCCACTGCCCTTAGAGACTAGTGGTCCCAGGTTGCCCCACTTTGCAGTAGCTGGGTAACTTAACAACACTCTTGTTTCAGGTTGGGGATGAAGAGGAGGTATTGCCTGCTAAGCTGCAGAGTGAGATGCTGACATCTTTGGATAGACACAACAGCAACAACAACGTACAGAGTAAGCAGAGGAGTCTTGTGTCTTGAGTTCACGTAGAGCAACTGTTGGAGCTCTGGGCAAAGCACTTTTCCCGGGGACCTGTAGTTTGCACTGCCTCCTAGCTGCAGTTCTCTAAGGCTATGTGTACTTCAGTCCCAAGCACCCTTTAAGAGCAAGCTGCTGATTTGGAGAGCACAGCTAAGTACCCAGACTAGATCAGCCAAGACTCTGGAACAACATGCCTAGACCCAAGCAGGGGCAACGCGGGCCTCGCCCTTCTCAAGGGGGAGGATTAAGCTCCCTACAGCTTGTGGTGTGTGGGTGGATTTTCTGCGGCCTCCGTTGCTACAGCTCCGCTGAATGTCATTGGAGGTAGAGCTGTGGCAGCTTGCACCAAGTGAGCATTTGCCTCAGATGCCTTTACACTGATACTGTAAAAGACAGGTCTGAATTACCAAGGATCCCAAGACACTTCTCTGTATGTCTGCAGTTCTTCCCCATCTGCTCACCCCACGAGCTTGCTGTTGCTCACTGTGATGCCCCCTGGAGGTGTGTGTGTTCCCTTTGGGAGTGTTGTCTTTTTGCAGATGGTGAGATGCTTGCTGTGTTCTTTGAGTAATTGTCCGCATAGACGTTCTTATGGGTGTTGCACCCTACAGCCTTGATGGGAGAACTTGCATCATGGCAGTATCCAAAACAAGTGCTCCAGCTGAGGCCAAGGCAAACTTCCTGCTCCTGAGTTCCTCTTAACTATCCAGCCAAGTTTCAGCTTCTTCCATCAGTCTGCTTTGTGGCCTACAACTTGTTCAAAGCTCTGCACAGCTTCTGTCTTATTGCCTTTTCTTGTAACTTTTTTAGTTGACTTCATAACTCTTTTCCTTGTCCTTCCCCAAGTGCCTTGGCAGCAAAGACAGAAGACCTCAAGTTTGAGTTGGGGCTGGTGCCCTTGTCTTCTTCATCTTCTGTTGATCTTCATTTAGCTGCGCCATGTGAAGCAACCATTTTACAGACCTGCTTTTTGCTTTAGTTCAGTTTAATTTAGTTCTCTCCTACCTATCATTTTGACATGTGAGAGTCTCAGTCACTCTGTTGCAGGACAAAAAAGCCTGTTTCCCCTTTGGTGTTGGTGTTGCCAATGTCTCCATGGTTTCATCACTGCCCTTTCTGTGAAGGGGTGACTTCTGTTTCAGACAGCTTTACCTACTGTTTAAATTCCTCGGGCAATTTTTACATCCTCAAGAGATGTGATACATGCAGATCCTTCAAATCCAGAACCAGGAAGGAAAGGAAGAGGTGGGGGAGGGAAAGGAAATCTTCTTCTTAGACAAGGCCATGGGTCTGGCTTCCAAAACTTCCAGTCTTCATGAATGACTGGTGATGATGGGTGAAATGGAAACAGTGCAGCCTTACTGTCCAATCCCAAGCTCAGCATGCAGGGCTGGGTGATGCTATAATAAGAAACCCCAGCAACTCATAAGTTAGTTTATTCTGCATGGTTTAAGGCTGGGATGTAAAGCTTTTTTGGCCCCCACAGGCCGAATCCACACCAGGGGTTTCCTATGAGCCAGACTGTCAGTGAGTGGTGGTGGCAATGCTGATCCCCATGGCTGCCAGAGCTGCAGTTTTGGTGCGAGTCCAGAGCCCAAGGAGTCAATGCCGTTGGCACTCATCCTCCTTTTTCCCCTGCTGCCCATCTTAGTCACCAGGGGTAACTTCTACCCTCTGCTGAAATCACGGTGTGTAGGGGAAGGTGAGTGGCATTAACTGGAGTTGTGCTGAAAGAGCAGCTCCAGGGATTAACACTGCAGTCGCAGGGACTCCAGCAGCAATGGTAGCAAGCTCTGTGGGCCATAACTGGCTTGCAGAGGTGGACAGTTCTGCCCACAAGAAGCCCCAGGGGACCAGATCTGGCCCATGAGCTATTTTTGATAGATCTGTGAGGGGCCAGGGGTCATTTTTTTGCAAAAATAAGTATATAATAGAACTAAAGCAACTGAGAGAGACTACATGTGGGATTTATAGAGTCACTTCAGAGTAATACTCCACTGTGAAAATCACCCAGCAGTTCTTGTAGCTGTCTTGCTCTGAACAAATTCAGAGACAAATATTTTGCTTCATAATTGTTACCATCAGAAGGGACTGCAAAGACAAGGAGAGAAATAATCCATCACTAGAGAGGGCAGCC